TGTGTGTGTGTGTGTGTGTGTGTGTTGATGGGAAGAAGCAGGAGCTTTAAATTCAAAGTATAAGGGAAAGCATTATTACACAATCAAGTTTAGGGAATTACAGACATGTCAAATTTGTGCTCTGACGTTAGCGTTGTTAAACTTTGCTCTAACTAACCTAGTTACTTTTTTAAAGAATGAGAAAAGCACATAAGCTATTTTTGAAAAATTATTTCGTCATAATAAAAGCAAAAAATATAGTGTTGTTTTTTTTAAAGACCATGATTTTCTGAATACTACATCTCTAAACAGTTTGGAAGCTACCCAAAGTACACAAATTGCTCATGTGGTAGTAATTACCTCCACAGTGTTGGACGGACGTGCAGCCCTTTATCACATTTTGTGACAGGACAGACAGAAGGGCAATAATGATAAGAAAAACGGGAACAGAAAGATGAACTGAAAGGGGGGGGGGGGGAACAGGCTGAAGAAAAAGAAATAGTGGAATTTGCAACACATTTAACCAACAAAGGATTAAGATTCAGAATATATGAACTATAAACCAGAAAGAAAATACCAAATAGTCATAAAAAAAATGGGCAAAATACAGAACAAACATTTCACAGATGAGGAAATATGAATGGCCACTAATCACATGTAAAGATGCTTCACTTTATTAGTAGGAAAACGTAAACGAAATGAAAAGCAAAGTAACGCATGGGATACTATTTTCTACCCAACAGACTGGCAAAAAATTATACCAAGTATTGGCAAGGATACGGAGCAACTGATAGTGATGACATCAATTAGTGCTCCCCACAGCGTGGCATTACCTAGTAAAGTTGAACATATTCATGACCCAATAACCCCACTTTCTGTGTATTATAGAGAAACATCCACAGGTACACCAGGGGACATGCACAAGAAAGGTTACAATAGCAAAACTGGGCAGGAAACAACTCAAAATCAATCAACAGTGAAATGGATAATTTTTTTGTATTCAGTCAATGGAATGTAGCAGTAGTATGGCTATGTCAGTTTGGATTTAAAAAATATAACTTTAAATGAAAAAAATTTAAAAATATTTTAGAGTATGCTTTCATTTTTATCAAATGCAAAAATAGGCAAAGCCAAAAATATTATTCATGGATACTGCATAAAGTGTAAATGTATAAAGAAAAGCAAGGAGATGGTAAATACAAATTTTCTTAAACATCTCAAAGTATTACATTTGGTCTTATATTTAAAATTATTCTTTTTCAAAATTTATGTTGTATCCTACTTTATAATTACGAGCCAAATAACCCAAAAATCCAAGAAAAATGGGATAAAATAGCACTTTCTATCCATAGTGGATGTGCCTGTGCATAGAACATTAATGGACTATTTGAGAATTTCGTACAGCTGATTTCAAAACTGGGCCTTAGAGGAGGAAATAAATGAATAGCTCTCTTTCTTTTTCCAGGCAAAAGCTAGAAAAGCAATACTAGTATCAAGCAAGTAACAAAATACATGAGATGTGGAGTAGCATCAAAAGTTAAATAAGTTCTCTCCCACTCCCAAATAAATGAGAACCAAATACAATCCTCCCTCAAGTTTCAGTTTCTTAGAACATGCAGTCTTTGCAGGATTTTACCCTCAATTAGAAAAGAATAAAATATCTGTAGTGAGCTTTGCAGGGGCTGATAAGAAATGAACAGAGAAAGCTGGGGCTGATGATAAAGGTTTCAGAGAACTATGATTATAGTCTTCCATTTTGCTTAGGACACTATTACTTCGTCCTTCAAACAATTCTTCCCTCTGCGCATCATAAATGGTTCTATTTACTTATGATATCTGGTGACTAGACTTAACACCCATGTTATTATTAACCATATTGTGAGTATCATGGTTGGTCCCTTCAGAGGACAATTAAGAGTCAATGTATTCACCTTAACTACTGTTACTCTGATGCGCTATTCAGATGCTCCCACACATTTTCTCTATTTTGAATCAACCTTAAGATAGTAGAATCTTAGCTGAATAAAAAGAAAGTGAAAAATTAACCAGGGTACCCAGTTGACGGGATAGATGAAGAAGATGTCCTTCTGAAAAAAATTAACCATTTTGTTCCACGGTTTACTCTGAGAAATATTTTTTTTTTGACTTGTGCCTAAAATTGGGTTTCTAAAGGTGTTGACACCACATAAAATCCCACATCAGTTAAATGGACCCCAGTCTCTATTAGCTACCTTTCCAGCATAAGGAATCCATTCAGGTTAAATTAAAAATAGACATTAACTCAGTTTCCATGGCACTGGAGACAAAAAAGAGAGATGAGATTAAAGGAGCTTGTTCTTCCTCTTGAGCACTGACCACGGTGCTTTCCCTAAGTCCAGAGACTTGGCCTACATATTGTCGGAATATATAGCTCCAGGGCGTCCCCCTGCTTTTAGGGCCGGAGAAGAGCAATGCCTTTGCAGTAGTTTTGTGCCATCTCTCTGGGTGGCAGATAACAGAGGGAACTAGCGCTCTGCTTCAGTGAGGCCAATGGCTGGGCTCCGTGCGTATAGAAACTCGTTCATCTTCACAAACCCCCGGCGGTACTGTATGTTCCAGACGAGGGAACTAAGGGTAAAGGGCTCTTTTTTAACAAAAGCTTCCTCAAACTCACAAAGTAGCAGTCAACATTCAAACCCAGATCCGATGAGTCTAAACTTGTGAACATTGAAATATGAACCTTAACCTTTCATCGAAGGAGCCTCCATGGACTTATAAAAACACGTGGCCTGCAAGTGAACTCTGAGAGGTACCAAACCGTTTAGCAAAGTAAAAATCTCTCTCTTTCACACCACATATATCACCAAAGATGGTCCTCCGTTTTATAATTTAGGAACGCTAATGTGTTAAGAGTTGTGCCAAGAAATGTTTAAAAAGGAACATTTCCCCCAATAATTAAATAAAGTCGCACAGCGTCATGGAACCGGCTACCACGC